TTTAAGAATTTTGCTAATAAGTGGTGTGGAAAAACATCCAGAGCTAACAAAGCCAACATGGGGAAATTATAAGCTTTCTAGAATTCTTATGTCTCTTAGCTGTATTTCCCTAGCATCTGGTTTACAGCATCTTGTATAATGTGGTTGTCAAAATCATGAACCATAGGGCCGGCCCGGTGGCGCTTGGGAGCGTGGCGACCCTCCCGCCGAGGGTTCGGATCCCACATACAGACCAGTTCCCGCTCACTGGCTGAGCGAGGTGCGGGCGCAACGCCGAGGGTTGCGATCCCGTTGCCGGTCCCGGTCCGGTACGGGCGTGACACTGAGGGTTGCGATCCGTTGCCGGACACGAAAAAAGACAAAAAAAAAAAAAAAGAAAAAAAGAAATCATGAATCATAGATGCTTCTTCAAACACCCACTTGGGAGCATATAATAACATCTAATAATACATAATAACAGCTAAAATAGTGATTGGGCACTCAGTGTGTGCTGGAGCCCAGGCTAAGCATTTTACTTATAGTATCTAATTAGATTCTCTCAAAACTCCTTGAGGTGGGTTATAACATTTTCCACACTTTACAGATGAGGGTTGTAAACTCACTGACTATAGGGACCAAGTCTGTGTATACATGGCTTAATTCCCATTTTCTAGAAGAGCAGCTAACAATGTGTATGCCACTGGGAGAGCGGACAGCCTGAAAAATCACTGCAGTTTATCAAAAGGCCCCCCAGCATCACTGCTGAAATGGAGCCTCCACTATCTTGGAGTTTCCTTTAAGAGTTCCCAGTCTTGGGGATATAGGGGGTGGAAATTCCATTGGGCATTATAGATCCTTCCAAAACAGTTATTTTCTACAGAAATTGTTATATTTGGTCCTGGGAACTCCTTGCAGAAATGAACTCAAATGGTCAGAAATATTCATTTCTTTCAGTTTTGAGAAATAGAATAGGCCATTCTTCTTTAGAAAACCCTTTATTAGGGTTTTTAGGATGGCAATAAAATATATAAAATGAGCAGACAAAACAGAAAAGTAGGTGGTGAGAAGGAAGCTGGGGAGGGCTGGCCTGTGGCTCATTTGGGAGAGCGTGGTGCTGACAACACCAAGTCAAGGGTTAAGATACCCTTACTGGTCATCTTTTATAAAAAAAAGAAAAAGAAAAAGAAGGAAGCCGGGGAGAGGGAAGAAACCCCTGGGAGGCCCAATCTTTAATGCTATGGTTTATAAAATGAAGAAAAAAAAAATCCATCTTGAATCCAAATTCATCTCTCCTGTTCTGTTCTTGTCAAAATGTTAATTCCTTGGGCAACTCGAGATACACCATGTTTCTCCCCAGATAGCCCCAAGTTCAAGGGCAGAACTTGGTCTTGGACTGCGTGTCTTTGCTGTGAGGGCAGCAGCACTTTTTTCCATATCTTGGCTATTGTGAATAATGCTACCATGAACAAAGTCCAAACAGAAGCCTTTGAATGTCCATCAGTGTTAAATCGACAAGTAAATACTGGTATTTATCCACAATTTATTTCATGGGTGGAATACTACACAATGCTAAAAACGAACAAATTTCAGCTACATACAATAAGGTGGATGATTCACAAATATAACATTAAATGAAGGAAGCCTAATACAAAAGAATTCAGAGTGTTGTTCTATTTACATAAAGTTCAGAAACAGGCAAAACTAAACTATAGGGCTTGGGAATAGTACTCAAGTAGTAAAACTCTAAAGAAAAGCAAAGGAAGGGATTACCATAGAAGGCGGGGTAGTGCTTAACTTTAGAGGGAAGGAGGGGTTTGGCTGGGAAGGTACTTGTGGCTTCTTGGATGCTGGCAACATGCTTTTTCTTGACTAGGTGGTGGATCCACAGGTGTTTCCTTTATAATTATATATTAAGCTGCACATTTATATAAGCTGCACTTCAAAAAGTTTGTGGAAAACATGGAATTAAAAGATAATATGATGGGCTGGCCCGGTGGCACACTTGGTAGAGTGCGGTGCTTGGGAGCGTGGCTGCGCTCCTGCCGGGGGTTCGGATCCCATATAGAGACTGGTCCGCTCACTGGTTGAGCGTGGTGTGGGCGCGACGCCGAGGGTTGCGATCCCGTTGCCGGTCGCGGTGCGGGCGCGACACTGAGGGTTGTGATCCCGTTACCGGTCACGAAAAAAGACAAAAAGGAAAAAAAAAAAAAGATAATATGAATCTTTCCATAAACTTTTTGCACCCTCATGTTTTATGTCCTTTTCTCTGTGTATTATTTGCCACAAAAAGGTTTAAAACACATGAAACACCAAAGAAAAAAATCTAACAAAAGATATGAAAGAACTTTACAAGAAAAAATATTTTAGAAAAATACCTTAATGCATGGTGGTGATGGTTGTACGACAAAGTGAATGTACTTAATACTACTAAACTGTACGTTTAAAAAATGGTTAAGATGATAAATTTAACCTTATGTGTATTTTTCACCACAAGTAAAAAAAAAAAAAAAACCTAAATACACAAGAGAGTGACATAAAAACATACCTAAAGGGCTGGCCCGGTGGCACACGCGGTAGAGTGCAGCACTTGGGAGCGTGGCAGCCCTCTGAGGGTTCGGATCCCATATAGAGACCGGTTCCCGCTCACTGGTTGAGTGTGGTGCGGGCGCGACACCGAGGGTTGCGATCCTGTTGCCGGTCACAAAAAAGGACAAAACAAAAACATACCTAAATACATGGAGAGTGACCCCATGTGGACACTTTGGAAAACTCAGTTTTGTAAAGATAGCAATTCTCCGTGATAGCAAGTGATTGTTCAATCATTCTCATTGTTGATTTCCCCCCACCTCTGGAACTTGACAAGTTGAATCTCTGGTATAAGAAGAACAAGATAAGAAGACTTACTTTATTCAATGTCAAGACTTACTATAGAAACAGAGTAATGAAGGTAATGTCTTATAGGACCAGGGTAAACAAGAGTTCAATGGAGCCACCCTGAGCAGTGAGACAGACCCACACAGACGAGGCAGGGTGGTCCGGCGATCAGTGGGACTCGGGCTTACCCAGGAACATTCATGACAGCTCTATTCATCGTAGCAGAAAACCCAGAAACAACCCAGTGTCCGTGGGCAGGAAAAATGGACACATCAATTGTGAAGCATTCCCACACCAGAATATTGTGCAGCAGCAAAAATGAATGAAGTGTAGTTAACCTGCAACCATCTGGATGAATCTTAGAAATAATGTCGACTGAGAAAAGCAAGTCACAGAAGATAACACATGGTATGATTTCATTTTACAAAGCCGAAAAGCAAACAAAACTAAAAAATGTATTGTTTAAGGATGCATATCAATGTGATAAAAACTATTAAAAATGTAAGGAAATGATAATTGTCAAGTGAAGGGTGATGGAGACTTCTGGAAGGCAGGCAAAGGTGGGATGGGGAAAGGCCTGAGGCAGTCACTGGGGTACGCACTGGGATGTGCTGGTTCTCGGATTGGGTGGGTGGCAAGGTTATGGGGTTCATTTTATTGTTGTACATTATAACTCACATCTAAGATACAGACATCCTTTAGTATGTGTCAATTATTATATAGTAAAATCTAAAAAGGAAGAGAAAGGTGCCTAGGCTTCAGCCATGGGGAATACCAGCTTTTCAGACCAGGTAGAGGAGAAGGAACTGTGTCATCACAGAGACCAAGAGAGGCTCCCAGAAGGTAGAGGGATCTCCCAGGTTCAGGGCTTCTAAGAACAGTGTAGGAAAATGAGGACTGGAAAATGTGCTGGACTGGCCACACGGGGGTGATCTCTGAACTTGGAGGAGCAGTCCTGGGGGAGTAGAGGGACAGGACAGAAGCTACATTGTGGCTGGCTGCAGACCAAACGGAGAGACAGAACACTAGAGCCTAGGGTGAGGATAGCCCTTTCCTCAACTGCCTCTCCCCTGGTATGCATACCCACGCCACGCACCCACTCAGTCCTTTGTCCCAGGAATAGTTGGCCAGAGGGTAACATGACTCCAGCCGGACACGCTATTCCAGCCTGCAAGGTCGTGACTTTCTGGTCCAGCCAGGACTCCTGGGGGAAAGGAAGGGACTGGTCTCCTGCCCTTTCACTGGAAGTCTGAAACCCATGAGGACAGAAGGAGGAGGAACCCATAAGGTAGAGGTACTGGGGTACTAGGAGACCTGGGAAGGTCCAGCCCTGGCCTGTAAAGGTCAGGGTCTTCCCCCAAACAGGGGAAACCCTCTCTGGGCCCCACAGATCCTCCTTCCCTACTCCCCCCGGCAGCTGGGTGGCAAGAAGTCCTTGCTGTTCTGCCATGAGGAGAGGCAGACTCTGGTCTGGCCTCCCCAGATCCAAGCGGCCTCCAACATCACAGCCGCAGCCATAGCCGCAGGAACTGGCTTGGCTTCCTCCCAGGCGGAGGTGGCGGCGACAGCCAACCACCCTCCCTTTGTTTGCCTTGGGAGGGGCAATTGCTGAGCAAACAGGGAAGGGAAATCTGGATTCTGCCTCTCTTCTCCGCTTAACCAGCCGTTACCCAGGGCCAGGCCTCTGGGGCCCACTCAGGCCTGGCTCCTTCCTGGCCCTGTGTGTGGAAGGAACGCTGGGTGGGGGAGGGTGTACCGAACACCCTAGGCATGGCCTTAGTAAATGCTCAGAAAAAATAGCCCCCAGCTCAGGGGCACAAACAGATGTTTACTGAGCACTTACCGTATGGGGGCCGTGGGTTAGGTGCTCTACATGTCTGAGCTCTCTGACACTCCCTGACCATCCTAGGATGTCGTATTAGGATCTCCAGTTTCCAGAAGAGGAAACTGAGATACCCCAGGGGAGGATGTTGGTAGAGGTGGGAATCCTACTCAAATCTCTCTGACCCCCAAACTGTGCTCTTAACCACAGCTCATCTCTCTTAGTGGAGCAGCAGGGGAAGGGGGAAGGGGCACGGACAGGGGCTCTACCCTTTACCTCTCTTTTTCCTCCCCCAGAGACCACACCGCTGTCCAAGACTCTCCCCATGGCTGAGTTCCTGCCCCTGCTACCTTGGGCACCCCCGTTGGCCCAGGACAATGCCCAGGGCTTGCCTGCCCCCCGAGCTGAGCAGCAGAGGCAGCAGCCACAGGGTGAAAAGGCCCAGGGCCTGGCCCTTGAGGCTTGGAGCCTCCTGGAGGTGCCCTCCATTCACATTACACCATCCAGTGATGGAGAGTCACCCCCTTGCACCCCAACCTGCCGGCACTTACAGCAGCTGAGGACCCCAGACCTGGAGAGTCTGTCCCAGGACAGGTCAGACCTGGGCAGTGGATGGGAAATAGCGTCTCTCTTTCTCTAGAGACTCATGCTTGAGGGGGGGCTCCTTGTGGCTGTGACTGTCTAGGTGAGGCTGTGGGTCAGTTAAGAGTGTGGCCTTAGCCCATAGGGCCCTAACTGGAAGTCATGAAATAGATGCACAAACAAAAACAGGCAGCTGGGAGTGTGTGTTGGGACAATTGACTATAAGCTCAGCCAAGTGCTGCCTACTAAGAGTGGAGGATGACACCCCCTTTGACCCACATGGTGTTTTTTAGACTATTGGTCAGGACCCACTTAGGGGCCATGAAAGCAATGTAGTGAGTTGCAATCAGCCCTTTTTTTCTAAACTGAAATAGGACAGAATTGAAAACAACATTTGCAAGGCATGGTGAGGGTAAGTGTGGTTTCCTGCAACTTCTGTGGCATTACACATATTTCTAAGTGCATTCTGGAGGCCAATGTAAGAGGTATTTCCTGCTATAGCTTACAGACAAAAGAGAAAGTTTAAACAAAACTTCTGCAAGGAAACACTACCTCAGGCACAAGGAGACAGGAACTGGGGAGTTCAAGTCACAGGGGGAAAGAGGAAAGAACTGCTCTGGCCCCAAATAGAAAATCTACTGTGGTTTCTTCCAACAATGAACACTCCATAAGAGTTAAAGTTTATGAAGTAGAGCTCTGTGTGTTGACGTGGAGAAATTTCTGAAATGATGATGGAGAAAAGCAAGTTGCAAAATGATACAGTAGGAGCCTAATTATGTATCTTTTTTAAAAGACACTGAATAATAGGCTACTGTTGTTTGTTGGTGGATGCATTCTGATGTAGAACAAGGACAGAAATTGCACGGGAAAGACACACACCAACCTCAGGGCAGGGGGTACCTTGGAAGACATGGGCAGAGAAAGGAGGGATGGGGAGCTTACCCTTCGGCTGTAATTGTAGTAGTTTATTTCCTTAAAAAAAGAAAAGATCTGATCTAAAGCAAAATGGCAAAATGTCCACATCTATTATATATAGGTGATAGGGACATAGATGACCATTATATTTTTTTCCTGTTTGAAATACGTATTTCCTAATTAAAAATGTAAAAGTATTTCAAAGGAAGAAATAGGCAAACAGAAACATACAGAGAGCAGTGGGATCGATGAAGATGGTGGAAAGGGGCCTCTCAGACATCTGAGAGTGAGAGGCAGCCATGGGAAGAACTGGGGGAAGAGCTTTCCATGCACAGAGAACAGCAAGTGCAAAGGCCCTGAGGCAAGAATGTGCCTGGCAAGTTAGAGGAACAGTAGAGAGGCTGGAGGAAGACAGAGGAGGTGAGGTCAGAGAGATGAAAGGGGCCAGATCACTAGGGCCTTGGGCGCCGAGGTGAAGACTTGGCTTTTAGCTGGAGTGAAGTAGAGACAAGGCTCTGAGCCAAGAGGGCCTGACCTGATTCAAGTGTTCACAGGCTCCCTCTGGCTGCAGGTGGGAGCAGACTGTGGGGACAGGGACAGGAGCAGGAGACCAGGAAGGAGGCTGCAGGGATGTCCAGGCAGGAGGGGATGGAAGCTGGGACAGGGTGGGGGCAGGGGAGGGGGATGAAGAGTTTAGATTCTAGATAGATTTTGTAGGTAGAGCCAATAGGGTTTGCTGAGAGATAAAATTCACATATGAATGTTTACGAAGGAGAAGGGTCAGGGAAAACTGAAATTTTGGGCCTGCAATCCTCCAAAGTGGAGAAGTCAGGTGGGTTTTTTTTATTTTTGTTGTTGTTGTTGTTGGTTTTTGTGGGGAAGGGAGGGGAAGGGTTAAGAGCTGAGGAGGGATGGGAATAGAGTTTTTAAAAGGTGTAGGGACAGCCTACCCTGGAGAGGGGTGGGGGGCAAGTCCCTCTGCTGGGGAGCCTCGGCCCAGGAGCTGTGAAATGGGACTCACATTTCTATGCTCTTGGGCAGGGAGCCCAGGACACCAGCAGATTCTGACAGCAGCTTGCAGAGGTGGGCGCAGGTGATAGCATCAGACAAGGCTTACATCCCACTCTGCAGCCTACTGGCCAGGTGACCTCAACAAGTCGCTTCCCATCTTTGAGGTTGGGCTTGCTCGCTGTAAAAGGGCTCATGAGGCCCGCCTCTGCGCTGCCGTGGGCAATCCCTTACCACAGAGTTAATGGGATCCCTAGGAAGGGGTGACTTGCTCAAGGTCACTGCGCGGATAAGAGCGAGAGGGCTGGATTCTGACTTGGTCTGGCTTATGGGGTCTCGGAAGACCCCAGAGACGAGGCACTGGGACCTCCTGGGGCCCGGAACCTGGGCCCAGAGACCGGGAGGGGGAAGGGGAGGGGGAGAGGCCCACCGGCACAGCCCCTTCCCGCCAGCTTCGGCTCCCCCACCCCTCGGTTTCCCCGCGTCTGCATCCCCCCACCTCCACCCACCTCCACGTTCCTCCCTGGGAGGGCCGGGAGCGGGCCAGGGGCATATTTGGAGCTGAGGACCATTTTCCGAGTTCTAGGGAAGAGGGTTCTCCAGCCTGTATCCAGTGTTGCCACCACAGTGTCTGGGTTTAATAAACATTCTCTGCGTGTGTCTCTGTGTCTCTGTCCCCCGCTCCCCTCTCCCTGGCTCCTCTCCCCGTGTGACCGTATGGCCGACTCTCTCCCCAGCCTCTCTGCATCTAGGCCTCGGCTGCTCCCTCCCAGTCCTCCTCCCGGCCGGGGGGCGGCGCCGTGACGCGACGGGGCGGGGGCAGGAAGGGGGTGTCGCTGACTCGGCGGCGGCCTGCGGCTCCGGCCTTTTGTGCCGGCGGCGGGGTCGGGTCGGTGCGGCAGAGGAAGGCGAGGCCGGTGCCGGCGGGGGCGCCCAGCTCAGCCCAGCCCCGTTCAGCCGGGCCCTGCCCTGTGGCTGGG